CCTCAGGGTGGCCTGCAGGGATCTGGCCAAAAACTGCAGTACAACACCGCCTGTAGCTTCTATCTGCCACTCCCGCTCATCCTGTTGAGGCTTGAGGCGCTGATAGAAGCTGCAGGGCATGCTTGTGACCTACCCACCCTAGTGTGAGCGGCCCCTAGTGGGCAGCGTGTTCCATCAGCAGGCGGCTCAGCACATGTACATGGAGGTGAAGTTGCCAGCTCCTGCTTTCCCACAGGTCTGAGCCCCCAAGCAGCTGGGGATGAGCTGGTGATCCCAACAGTCTTACAGCCAGCCCAGTTCTCCCGCCACCCATCTGATTCCCCCTTTGTCATCGCTGATGCATCGAAGCCTGTGGGCCAGGGGCAGGGATCAGGAGGTCAGCTGTTCAGCCTGCTCTCCAGTCCCCAGTCCCACCCCGCCAATCTCCAGTCCCAATGCACTTCATGATGACCAGTCATTTGGTCATCATGGTTGTCAGGGACACTGGCTATATATATTACTCTTGATTGTTTGAATAGTCGAACAGCTACCAGACACTTAACAAATTTCCCTTTTATTATTTAGGATAACTGGGTCCATAAGTTGTTAATAAAAATCAAGGTTCGCTGTTATTTTCTGCTATTGGTTTGATAACGAAGCCTCTTAGAAACCTTTTTGTTTAATTATAGAAAACAAAATTTGGCAAAAGGCAAGGGATATAAACATTTTCTGTCTTTAAAAAAGAGAGAGAGAAAGGGGGGGTGGAGAGAGAGAGAGAGTCAGAGCATTTGGTAAATTTAATGCATAAATTGCTACTTAAAATAGATAAAAATAAATGATCATTATGCAAATCTATCATTAAGAAGATGTCCCAAAATAATTTATAATATTCTACATTCTAGACTAGAAAGTAGGTTATTGTTTTGTTTTTGTTATTTCACAATATTTCTTTTTTTTTCACATTTAAAGTAGTACATATAGTAATACATATGCCTCCTTTTCCCCAACTACCCCCAAACCCTGGCACATGCCCTCACCCCCCTAGTATCTGTGTCCATTAGTTATGCTTATATGCATGCATACAAGTCCTTTGGTTGATCTTTCCCCCTTCACCCCACCCTCCTCTGCCTTCCCTCTGAGGTTTGACAGTCTGTACGATGCTGTTCTGTCTCTGAATCTTTTTGTTTTTGTTCGTCAGTTTATGTTGTTCATTATATTCCACAAATGAGTGAGATCATGTGATATTTATATTTTTCTGACTGGCTCATTTTGCTTTGAATAATGCTCTCTAGGTCTATCCATGCTGTTTCAAATGATAAGAATTCCTTCATTTTTATAACAGCTTCGTATTCCATTGTATAGATATACCACTGTTTTCTAATTCACTCACCTGCTGATGGGCACTTCAGCTATTTCCATATCTTAGATATAGTATTAGTAAATTGTGCTGCTATGAACATAAGGGTGCATATATCCTTTCTGATTGGTGTTTCTAGTTTCTTGGGATACATTCCTATAAGCAGAATTACTGGGTCATATGGCAATTCCATTTTTAATTATTCAAGGAAATGCCATACTGTTTTCCACAGTGGCTGTACCAGTTTGCATTCCTACCAGGAGTGCAAGAGGGTTCTTTTTCCTCTTCATCCTCACCAGCACTTGTCATTTGTTGATTTGTTGATGATAGCCATTCTGACAGATGTGATATAGTACCGAATTGTTGTTTTGATTTTCATCTCTAGGATGATTAGTGACTTTGATCATGTTTTCACTGTGCCCAACTCCTAGTCTGGTCCCTTGGAATCATCTTTTATTTACTAAGAACACACAATAACAAAGAAAGGCTATCATTAACAAGTATACCTAAGTTTTAGTAATGTATCTGAAGCATTCATTATATTATCTTGCACTAGATTGGGATACACTAGTGTGATAGTGGAAATGGAGAAAAATGTTGCTTTGTGAATATAAATTAAAGTAGTCACAGTCATTGGATTAACTTTACCCTTTAAGAGTAATTATGTTCAATTTCCCAGTCACATAATGAGCTCCTGAGAAATACAATTCTCTTTTACAACAGCTTGACCTTGTGCATGCATTTTTTTTTTAATCCTCACCTGAGGATATTTTTCCATTGATTTTTAGAGAGAGTGGGAGGGAGGGAGATAAATATTGAGATGAGAGAGACACATTGATTAGTTGCCTTCACACATACCCTGACCAGGGCCAAGGATCAAGCCCGCAAGTGAGGTACATGCCCTTGACCAGAATCTAACCCAGGACCCTTCAGTCCCCAGGTCAACACTATTTCCGCTGAGTCAAACCAGCTAGGGCTTTCATATTCATTTTTAATGCTTTCTGTCCAAGTGATACAAAGATCCCACTCTTTCTTTATGACTAACCAGTACAACCTTTCCTGTCGTCTTCCCTAGCAATTAGCCGTGTTTTTATAAGTACTTCACGCCTTTCCCTATTTATATATATATATATAAAAGGCTAATATGCAAAGTGTCCCTGTGGGAGTTCTACAGGGATATTGGGAGTTCTATCACTCACTATGATGTGCACTAACTACCAGGGGGTGGCATGGAACAAAGGAAGACCCTGGCCGAGAGCTGGGAAAAGAAGGCCCTGGCTGGCAACTGAGGAAGGGAGTCCCTGATCAGCCCTGATTGTCAGCCAGGCCTGGGGATCCTACCTATGCACAAATTTCATGCACCAGCCTCTAGTTAAAATATATTTACTGTAATGCTTATAGTTGATGTCCCTGACTTCTCTGTGAGACTTTCCAAAGCAAGTCCAAGCCTTATTCACTAGTACACTTGGATTTGAGTCCCAACTAAAGTCTGGCACACAAATCAATGTGGTGAATGAAAAAAAGAGGGTCATGGGCATGTTAGATTTATGTTGGTTATGTTTTCATTGTAATTACAACTATGTCAATGCTGAAGTTAATTAGATAGAGTTCCTTTGGAAAAGTGGAATAAAAATCTGTCTCAAAAGCATTACAAGGAAACGTGGTAAAGGCTTTTTATTTAGATTTTTATAAGAGGGGAAAGCCCTATCACTATGGAGAGCTTGTTTTGCTAAGTATACATTTCCCTCAATGTATAGTTATCTGTGGAAATTAATTCAATATTTTTTTTCTATTAAAACAAGAAGTTAAGAGAGTTTAAATGATCTTTTTAAACATAGTTTTTTGGTTTAATCATCAATTAGTGTTTGTTGTTTTACCTATGTAATTTTACATATATCAGTACACAACTAAGGAGAATTGATCTTCTAACTTCTGGCAAGTAGATACAGACTGACTAGATGTTGAAACAAAGACATAATCATATAATATCTAGAAATAGACTGAAAATAATTTCAAGGTAATTCTACCATATATCTCTGCCACAGCTTAGACTAGCAGAAAGAAATCAGAAATAAATTGAGACAAGGTCAGAATCAATAAAAAGAAATTCACATAGGAGCAAAGAATCTCTTTCAAATAAAAGTCTAGAGGACAAATCTGAGCTTAGCAACTCAGAGTCCTGAGAGGCCAATGAATAAGGTAAGGAGGGAATAGTGTACATTAAAAGGTGATTCAGATGAAGTTTCTGGAAACCATTTTCTACGTCAGTCTGTTTCATGCTTCAGCGCTTCAGGTCAATGACAGTGTTTTTGAAGATAACTCCCTTAATTAAGTGTGTGACACTTAGCCAGACTGGCATGGCTCAGTAGTTGAGTGTAGATCTATGAATCACGAGGTCAGTGTTTGATTCCCCATCAGGGCACCTTCCCAGGTTGTGGCTCTATCCCCAGTGTGAGGCAGGCAGGAGACAGCCAATCAATTATTTTCTTTCATCATTTATGTTTCTCTCTCTCCCTCTCCCTTTCTCTCAGAAATCAATATTTCTTTTTAAGCATGTGATACTTTTGAAGCTGACATCTAATTATTGAATTACATGATTTCTCCATCATGTGCCAATAAAAGAGGAGGTCTTTAATATCTTAAAAATAACATTAAATCTGTAGACAGAATAGTCTTCCATTTCAACCTAAAATATAGTTAAAAGTTTATCCTACATAAAAAGGCTAATATGCAAACAGCCAGTCGCTATGAGGCACACTGAGCACCAGGGGGCATGCCAAGGGAGATGCTGCTTAGCCAGAAGCCTATATGGTGGCAGGAGCCTTTCTTGCCTCCATGTCAATGTTAAGGATGTCCAATTGACACCTCTCAGACTGCGAGAGGATGCAAGCTGGGCTGAGGAACCCCTAACCCCCCACCCTGAGTGCACAAATCTTGTGCGCCAGGCCTTTAGTATTTATATAATAAAATTACTACAGTTATGGAAGTAAGCTCAATAGTATATTTCAAAGTTTCATTAATTATGTACCCAAGCTTATTCATTAAAAAAAAATCTCACATAATATTTAAGGGGAACATTTCTAAAAGGTTATTGGAAGAACTTATTGAGAGGATGTGACTGACAGTTGACCTTCAAGCTGGGTCCATGTCATCTGAGGCTTATTATCCTCTCCACTCTCCTTGTAATTTATGTTCCACCCACTGTTTCCACACTAGGAGACACTTCGAAGATTGAGAAGTGGCTTTGAGAAAGGAAGGTGTTATTGAGATTATCTGCACTCTACATGTGACTGAACCCTCTTAAGGCCTCTATAAAACTTTTAAGATTCTGATGGAGATCGAGTCTTCTTGTAGCTGCCCAAGATATAAAGATTCCCTAGTTTATTAAACCTGACACCGTGCCTGTCTAGACTGGACTGCCCCTTTCTTTAGTTTTTTCTTGCCCCAGGGGCCAGTTTCAAATTTCATTCAGGGAACTCTGTAGATTTTTGAGAACCAAAAAAGGTAAATTGTATTTTCTTAAAAAAAAAAAATGAAATGGAGCATAACCATTTATTTAAATTAAGTCAAACATCTGAAGTTTAGTCTATACATTAGGAGTATGTATATATTATAATATTTTTGCTATTCCATGTTATTTCTCATTTCCTCACTTTTCTCTAAGTTTTTATGTAGTTGTGAACCTGTGTACCATGGATAGCTCTGTGAATTGGATATGAATGAATGTGAAATCCAACCTTGTTTAGATGGAGAAGATTGTGCTAACAGAACCTGTGCATACAACAGCCTCTGTGTTCCTGGTGATACAGGTAAGCCTCTCTCTGCCCTGCTTATATCAACCTATCACTATCTATAAATAAGTGAAAACCTTATACTACGCTCTAAAACCCAATATAACCTGTCACATGCAAATAAGACAGACAGGCCAAGGAAATTCTTGGTATGTTATAAATTAATACAAATGCTTTTAATCTACAATTTGCTAGAGACTAAGAAATATATTGATTATATTTCAAGGTGTTTTATATTTTTATGCTTTTTTGTATTGAAGTTTTCTGAAATATTTTATATGTTTATAATACAGAAAATAAATATAGGTGTATGAATAATATAAGATAAATACTGTTATAGCTATTAAAATGTCATATAAAATATGTTTATTTCCTTTAAATCTACCTATATACTAAAAATCAATCAGGAAGCTTTTGTGAATTTGAAGTTCTAGCAGAAAAGTATGATTTGGAGTTAGGTATCCTAATATCAATTACAATATTTCAACAAATAAATTCTATCCAAATATTGGGAGAAAAGTCATCAAGAAACTTTAAAAAAGAAGAAAAGCATTAGTTAGTCCTCTACTCAGAATATTATAGGACACTGAAGAAAGAAATTGAGGAAGACACAAATAAGAGGAAACATATAACATATTCATTAAATGAAATAATTAAATCATTTAAATGTTCAAACTACCCAAAGCAATCTATAGATTCAATGCAATCCCTATTGAAATACCAATGGCATATTTCACAGATCTAGAAAAATATTCCAAAAATTTATATAGAACCAAAAAAGACCCAGAATAACCTCATCAAACTTGACAAAGAAGAACAAAATTGGAGGAATCGCAATACCAGATATCAAATCATATTGCAAGGCCATTATAATCAAAACATCCTGGTACTGGCACAAGAACAGGCATATAGATCAATGGAACAGAACAGAGAGCCCAGAAATCAACCCATGCCTCTATGGTCAATAAATATTTGACAAAGAAGGTAAGAACATATAATGAAGTAAAGACATTCAATCAATAAAGGGAACATTGGACAGATACATGCAAAAAATATGAAACTAGACCACCAACTTACACCATACACAAGAATAAACTCAAAATGGATATAAGACTTAAATGTAACTCATGAAACCATAAAGATCCTGGCAGAAGAAGTAGGCAGGAAAATCTCAGACAACTCTTGTGGCAATATTTTTGCCAAAATATCTCTTAGGGCAAGGGAAACAAAGGAAAAAAAATAAACAAATGGGACTATAGTCCTCTGTCTGCTGAGAAATTATACTTATGAAATATAAGAATGTATTGTTTTGATATGCCAATATTAATCATGTGGACCCAGCAAAAATGTTAAAATCTCAAATTATTAATGTTTGAATTCTACATCACTAGGTTCTTTTTCAAAGGAAAAATAGTTAAGTAAATTCAATATAAGATTTTCACAAGAATAAAACACACTAAACAAATAGAAATGAGATTAGAAAGCAAAACTGATAAAGAACTAGAAATATTTTTAGTGAATAAGTCACCAAAATGCAAGAGCAATTTAAGTCACCTGAACAAAGAATATGCAGGTACCTTTCCTGTTGAATCCAGATAGGTGTAAGAAAGTAACCTTTGTAACAACTGTTACATCCACAAAAGTCTCAGCTTAAGTTAAAAAAAAATTCAAAGTTAGTTTTCATAGATTTTCTTATATAAATATGAAGCATTACCTATTGGCTATGAAACAGTGTTCGTTCTAAATTTCATATTGCCCTTCATCTTTCAAATTATTGAGATTTTTTGGGGGGGACTTTAGGTATTCAACTAGCAATTGCATTCACCATGCTGTTGTTTTGCTGCTGTTACTCTTGCTCACAGCATTAAAATAAGAAATGACACACTGAGCTCCATGTGACTGAGAAACACATTTTGTAAAATTACTTGATATAACACATTGTTCTAGTTTTGTAAATGCATCTTAAAAGTTTGAAATATCAACATGTTCTTTATTTTTTTCACAATCGGTCTATTTTCCTTCCAAGCTACAGTGCTTAGCATTGCTTCAGAATTTATGATTGAGTTGCCAATTAGACAACCCAGTGGATAAGTCAAATGCACAGTTGGCTGTATGAGATAGTCTTCAGTGAAAACATAAACGTAAAACAAAAAGGAGTAAATGGAGATAGAATGAAGGACCAAGGACTGAGCCCAGGTGTTCTGCAATATTTAGGAATACAGGGGAGAAAGAGATCAAGCAAAATAAACTGAAGAGCAGTCAGTGTAACAGGAGGGAAAATAAAAGAAGATAGAGTTCAGAAAGCCACATAGTTTCAAGTAGAGGGCATAGTCAACAGCATCAAGTATTATTTTTGGGTAAGTAAAAGAAGGGATGTTAACCATTGGGACTAGATAAGCAAATGTCATTGAAGACATTGTCAAGAAGAATTTTTGCTAGATCAATGGGTGCACAGTCTGTTTGGAGAGGATTTAAGAGAGAGTGTGGAAAATTAAATTGCTGAGTGAGATTATATACCATTTATTAAAGTAAGGTTTTATTTTTTATGATGGGCACAAGAAATGGACAGACTTGAGAAAAGAGTAAGATTAAAAATAAAAGTTGTGTTTTTTTGTTTATTTTTTTTAAATTCGTGTGCTTGTTACTTTCTTCTAAGTTTATCTTTGTTGTTGAAAGTATTCCAGATGTTTTCCTTTTCCCCCCATTGGTCCCCTCCATTCCACTCCACACCCCCTGCCTGCACTATTATCTGTGTACATGGGTTAGGCATAAATGCATAAAAGTCCCTTAGCTAATCTCTTCCTGCCCTCCTGCCCCTTTTCCCTCTGAGATTCCTCAGTCTGTTCCATGCTCCCTATCTCTGGAACAATTTTGTTCATCAGTTTATTTTGTTCATTAGATTCCACTTACAGGTGAGATCTTGTGATACCTGTATTTCTCTGACCACCTTATTTTGCTTAGCGTAATACTCTGCAGGTCCCACTATGCTAATTCACATAATTATTAAATGACTTTGACAACTGTGTATGGAATGGACTGGAGAGTTTCAATAATAGAAGCAGAGAAACAATGATCACACTTTCTTTTACTTCTTAATAATCCTATATAATGAGAGGAATATGCAAATTAGGCCGGGACTCTGTAACATCACCACTGCTCAGCAGTGGGGGCTGGGGGGGAAGGGGAGTGGGGCCTATGGCCAGGACATGAGCCTGTGGTGCCTTCTCTGGAGTTGGTAAGCTAATGACCAATGGGCTCCAGTCCTCCTCCAACAGCCCTTTCCAGCAGGCATGGGGTTGCTGAGACCCAGGCCAGGCTCTTGGCTACAGATCCACAGCTTTGAGGAAACCGACTCTACCAGGCTGACTGGAAGCCATGTGCCTGGGCCACAGGGTACCCGTTCAAGATGTGACACAGAGAAGAGGTGCGGGAAGAAATCCAGAGAATGGGATGTGGGGGTTCAAGACTCACTTCCTTTGGGCTTTGTCCTTTTTGGCCTTAGTCCTTTTCTTTCGGCCCAGAGGGCAAGCACTGCAGGAGAGAGGGATGGATAAAGGCCAAATGTGGAAGAAAGGAGATGACCCAGGTGAGGGTGGAGACCTAGCAGAGGCGCATGGCCCAATTGTGGGGCTATCTGAAAGGCGACTCCCAGGCGAATGCCTCAGATTTGGAAAAGCAGCCTGCCAGGAGGGAGGCACTGCACCTTCCCTCTGAGGAAACACCACATAGGCGCTGCCTTCACCAGTAAACTCTGGGTGACATCTGCAAATGCGACTTCAACCTCTAACATACAGGGGCAAAGAACTGACCCTGTGCCCCTCTGGGTACCAGGCTTGCTAGGAGTGTGCAGTCACTAATGTCACCTGGTAAGGCAGGGTACACCAGATTGGTGCTCAGGCAGGGCAGGGGACCAGCAGGCAGGGATCTGCCTCGCCTGCAAAGAATGAGGTTCTGCAGTGGCTCCAAGGCACAGATAGGCCCAGCCAGGGATCAAGAGACATGGAAGGACATCCAGGTGGAGGAGTGCGGACCTGTAGCCCTGAGGCCAGAGTTGAGGGGAGGCGCCACCTCAGTGGAGGGGTGCACACTGTAGGGTATCCGACTGACCAACGCAATTCAGAGAAGCTGTTTGCACTAACCAGGCCCTTGCCTGGGAGGCCTTTGCACTTCAGAGGGAATGACTCCTGCTCCCGCCTTGGCCCAAAAGCAAGCCCGAGCCCGCCCTGCCCACAGTGGTGAGTGCAAAGCTTACCACCTGCTCCGGTGAATGGGGGAAATAAAGAATGGGGGCGAGGAGCAGGGGGCGAGGAAAGAATGTAGAGCATCCATGATGAAGAGGTGCTTGAGAAAGAGGCTCCAAAGACTGACTGGGAGGTTTGCTCTGTTTGCACTGTGGCTGCCCCTTAGGAAGAAGGGCAGAGAGCATGGCTCTGAGGGCTCCCTGTGCGCTGAGTCAAGTTCCACAGCCAACTGGAATTGGCCTCAGTTTCCTGGTCTGTAAAATGGATGAAGCGTGTCCCAGTGCCTTGGCTGAGCTTTGAGGGCCAATTGAGATACTATATAAGGAAAATGAGGGGATAAGTGAGAAAGAAAAGGAAGGGCAAGCAACACAAAAGAAAGACTGGAAGGAACCTGTAAACCCATTGTCACTTAAGTAGGGAATATAATTAATAGTGTTGTAATGATGGTATGATACTAGTGGGTACTGGAAATATCAAGGAACACTTTATAAAGTATATGATTGTCTAACCACTATTCTGTAACTAATATAAAACCTGAAACTAATACAAAATAATACTGAATGTAAAGAATTGAAAATAGGAGTGAAATTTTTGTAAATTTCAAAGTTTAAATAAAGGCTGTGAAAAAAAGGAGAGAATAAAAATAGTGTTTTTCATTTTACCACTTTGTCTTTGCAGTGCATGAAAAAGATAGTCATCTTTAAATAGTACTTTTATATTTTTCTAAGACATTATCTCATTTGATGTTAAGGGCAACTTAAAGAAAAGATAATGATT